ATTCCCACGCGCCATGTGGTTCTTGTTTTGAAGTCCTATGGGCCTTGTTCTACCCTAATTGATTATAATTGAAATCGATTCCCGAGACTCAGGTAAATGTTGATTAGCGGTGGATAAACGAGGAAGTCGCGTGCGCCATGTCTTCTTTTGGTAGGGTGTCATGGTTGTAAGTCGCATGTGCGGGGGTGTATAAATTTCTCCGGAGAAAAGGTTAAGAAGGTCGCTATTTCCTTCGAGTGTTGCTTCAAAGCCTGTTCACCTTTGAACAATTCCACTAGGGTTGTGGTTGAATGCTGACAGAGATGACGTGGACACTTATCCTTGTGGCACTCGCTATTTCCTCTTGCAGTCTACAGGCAATCTCATTGAAGGTCACGGAGAGGTTAGTTCCTGCGTGTAATGCACCTCACTCTTGATCGCCAGCACAATCAGCTGCAGCAGAGTATTTGAAAGTTCCGGGAATCCAGGCATATGAGAATAGCTACCCGCTAGCATTTTGGTTGAACATTTTCCCCCGTAAATCTATCGATATTGCAACACCTCGAAACAAATCTTTGTTGAGTCCGACTTGTTCATTAATTACAGAACATTTTAAAATATTTCAGATGGTTTGCTCAATTATCTTCGTTTCGAGATCAGAACTCTTTATTTTGAGATTCTACTAGTACACTCACTTCTCAAAATTTGAAGGATTGTGTTAGACATTTGTTCACTACGTTGAATATGACACAATTTGGTAACGTGATAAAGTAATGCAGAACATTGGATTTATCTTACTGCAGAAAACTTCACTTATTTTGTTGATTATGATTGCCAGGTCAAGAAACTTATTACTCAAAGTACACTTTGATAAGAGTTAGACACTTTCGAAAACATTAGAACAATCAAGTTACCGGTTACATGTGCCTGTTATCTACATTTTACAATATTATTTGTTGACAAATTGCGATTGCTCTTTTAATCCTGCCCTCCAAGTGTTTAAAAGTTCAATATGAAATTACATGATAATAGTATATTTTATCAATCCCTATCTTAGGCAATTGTTACAATTTCTATTTTCTCGCCTTACAAATTCTTCATAAGAAGAGAAATTTATGTAATCGTGCGCCGGAAACGGCAAATTTTCGACAGAAAACGTCTTAGAGCCGGGTTATGGTAACGAAAAAGTAGATAAGTAATGTTGCAAAATTAAGAAAAAAATGCTCTGACACGTAGGTACCTAAATTCATGTTAAGTTGGTTATGGATACCAAAAAATCGATTGACGGCAAACGTGGTCAACGCTAGCGGCTAAACAGTTCAGCCGATTTTCTCCAAAATTGATATTCCCCAATCGATCTGGGTGATGTCACGGCCCCTTGAATTTGAATCCGATACTTTACATGAAACCCCTCGGAAATGTTCAATACGATTGATTCAAATTTTTTGATTAAATTTTGTTATTTACTAGTGCGAACGATGTCTAAGACACAAATCCCCGATTTTGCGAAAATAACAAAAAAAAAAAAAAAAATTAAAACTACAAAATCGAAGATATAGGTTTTTGACTCAGACGTCTGTTATACAAAATTAGATCTTTAAAAAAGGTCATGTACATTTTTTTGTAAAAGATAGTAGTTTTTGCGTAATTTGTGCTTGAAATTTACGTTCTTTTCTCAAAAACCGCTCCAATTTTTATCTTTTAATTTTCTTCAAAAATGTAAAAAGGAACGGTAAGAATTATGGTGCTAGTCCCATTTACGGGTATTGCTTGGTTTTCTAAGTAATTCTAATCGCAAATATTATTAATCACCATAAATAAACTGGATGTGTCTGTAAGTGATTTTCCAATTTTTAACTTTTAAACAATTCTACACATCTCTTATTGCATTTGTATCACGTATGTCTCGTCGAATCAATTGTTGAGGTTTTGTGCACATGTATGAACTGATGTAAGTAAAATAATGAATATAACATCACCATTAAATTTAAATATATTATATCCAGTACCCATGGGACCAACTTACATCTCATTAATGATTCCGAAATTTTTATTAATGCTATTTACTTTCTCGTCTTTCGAATTCTTCGTAAAGCTAAGTACAGTTAAAGTAAAGTTAAGTGAAAGTTATGTGCGCCAGAAAATGCCGGAATTTCGTCAGAAAAAAAAACAACATTATTGCCGGATTCTGGTAAAGGAAAAGAGGATAAATCCTGTTGCTAAATTTATGAAAAAAATCCTCTAACGTTGTGTAGCCAGAATCTATGTTTGGTTGGTTCTTCACGCCAGGACATCGATTGTCGGCAATACGTCTGTCCGTATGTCTGTCTGTGGTGAACGCTAGCGCCTACACCGTTTAACTGATTTTTTACACAATTGATATTCCCTGATTGATCTAAACGGGATGGAGGCTTTGGAAGTTTCTAAGGAATATTTTGATTAATGAAGATTTTGTTACATGACTCGGGCATTTTCCTTTTTATTTTGCCCGAGTTCGAACCATGCTGCGCTTTTGTGGCGTAGAGGTATGAGTGCCAGCATGTTAGCTCTGAGGGTCTGAGTACAAGTCTCGGAGAAAATATTTTACTTTTAACTTAAATTTGTGAACCGACTTCAATTGTTTAAAGCCATCTGGCAGTGCGTTGTAAAGTAACGTACATGTATTGTATGTGGATTTCTTATTTTGAGCTGTTAATACTGACACTTGATAAACGTGATTTTTACGACGTGTGTTGTAATTATAAATATCAGTATTGCATGAAAATATGTTCCCACCGTTACTTTTGACAAATATTACAGATTCGTAAATATATAGTCAAGACAGTGGTAAGATTCCAAGCTCAATGAAGAGAGGCTTGCAAGGGTAACGCGGATGGCCTTTTTTCATTATTCGAATAATTTTCTTTTACAATCTAAAGGTCCGAGTACTACATGATGAGTTTCACCAGAATTTTATATCATATCTGAGGCGGGAAAGTGCATTGGCAAAATACATGACGGCTGAACGGAATTTGATTGAATTCTGAATGCGTAACATAATGGACTTTATTTAGTGTTTAATTTTGTTATATGTACATTCCATTGGAGGTTTGAATTGAGATACCTAGAAATTTTGTTACCTGAACATCAGCATATTGTGCATTTTCAATGGAGCATGTGATTGCTGATATGAAATACAAAAATGAATTGAAACGTTTTCCTTCGTTAACTATTAATTAGTTATTACAAAACCAATTTGAAACTGCTGAAATCGTACTATTTATTTTTATTTTTATTTTTTTTTGCAAAGAACATTCGGCTCAGCAGCAAACAGAACCGTTCTTCCGTTTTTAATAGACGACGGAATATATAGTTCACATATAACAGAAAGAGGATATGACCTAAGATCGAGCCTTGCGGAACACCATATTCAATTGGTAAAGAATTGGAAAGATAAGTAAATAATGTCCTTTTGTGCCAGTACGGTATTTCTACTCTTTGCGATCGATGTTTAAGGTACGAAGTTATCCAATCTACGGCGATACCACGAATTCCATAAGAAGGTAATTTTGATGGTGGGATGTTATGGTCAATAACGTCAAAAGCTTTCGAAAGTTGTAAAAATATTCCAATGTGTGCATCATTTTGGTCCATTGATGAAGCAACATCTTCAAGAAAAGAAAAAAATGGCAGATTCCGTAGATTGGCTGAAAAAAATGGCAGCCGTTTGGTTTTCTAAAAAAATTGCAGCATGTCTTTACTATGTCTTTGTCTGTACTATGTCTTTGTCTTTACTATGTAGGTGCGTTGTAAACGAGAAAGCAAAATTAAAGAACTATGTTTTAAAAATAATTTTATGACACAGGGTCCAAGTATGCTCTTTAGACTCGGAGAAATTATGCCCTTTGCGTTATTGCGTTCGGGTCATAACAATTCACCTTCCTGAATAAATATTTACTTAAACCCATTGTCACATAAGTAACTATTTTAAACGATATTCTTATTTGGTTGAAAACCTCTTATATAAAATAATGTAAGTAATGTGATATTGAAGTTCTTCAATCACAAGGTTAGTCTCTCTGCGGCTTGATAATGATGTGAGTCTTCAGTTTTTCTTTTGGTCTTCGGTGTCTTTCAGGGTTATGTTTTCACACGTGTGGGATATTTGGAAGAAAAATCTACCTTTTCTGACTTCGAAGGAGTTTCGCATTTATGTGAAGAATATGAAATTTTGCCTTTATGAATTGAATGGAGTATGAATTGTCCCAACTCCAGCAATTGATCTTATTTACAGTTTCATGAGAGACATTATGGCAGATACAGATACATATTTAAGTAATGGTTCCAGTGGGTGGAAAAGTGATATTTGTTCCAGATTTAAAACACATGTTACCTTTACAATTGCGGTCTGTAGTTCAGAATCCTGCATTGAAAAAAACAGCATGATTTAAAATGTTATAATTTTCATTTAGTACAAAACTTTCGAATGTCAGTGATATAGCATTTTGAAGGGATTCCATAATATAAGAAACGGGCTGTTCATAATTACGAGTTTGGTGACAAAGTCATTCACATTCACAGAAATGTTATATGTGATTGCAGTGATATTGTGCAATATAACATATTTTATATGTAATTTTTGTCTCTCTTTGTTGTATTCTTGTTGGTTTCTGTTATCAATTTTATTAGAATTTCTGAAATATCACTCCACAGTTGAATATCATTTCTACACACTTCTATCTCTGATAGAATAGAGAAGAATGAATTTAAATGCTAATTTGTTCTAAAATATAAATCCAGAAGAAATGTAGAAACGTTTTCAAGTAGCTTTCTTGTCATTCTTGTATTTTTGGGACTAATTATTCCATATCTAATAAAAATTTAAAATGAAAACATAATGATAAATCTTTCAAAGTTGTTTGGGGAAATTAGGGCACAGAAACCTTCTTTAAATTTTTATTGCTATTTTAGAAGATTTATGAATCATTTTCAGTGGCTGATTGAGACATGTGTTGAAATATATATATATATATTTTTTTCAGAAACAATATTAAACTTTTTACTGTATTGCTTGCAACAACCCCAGTTGGCATCTGCTGCAGCAATAGCTCTACAAAATATTTGTAGTGCTTGCCAAGATCATATGACTGTTCATTTCAATGGACTTCTACAGATTATTCAGTCTCTTGACACTTTTCGCATTACGAATGAAGCTGCAATTGGCCTACTTAAAGGTTTGTGACAAACATCATTGCCATTCTCTGAACTACGTTGTGTTATATTTGCATTGCATGACAATTGGTATAATATATACATTTTTTTCTTACAGGTGTTTCGTTAATTTTAGGACGAATGCCAGGGGATCAGATTCAACAAGCCATGAAACAAATATGCTGGGTTCAAGTTAATCCTTTGAATCATTTAATAGAGGTATAATTTCAATGCTTATATGTTCTGCATGTAGGGAACTCTGTGGTTATTAAATATATCAAAATTTTATTGCACAAAACTTTATATGCCATCATATGAGTCATAGTGTAATGTAAATTAACAGCTTGTTAAATGAATTGCAACTTATACAAGTATGTAGGACTCTTGCCGTTATCAAGGGGTTGGTAAAACTAATCACAAGTGAGACTTAAACAGTCAGGATAGATGCTTCAGGATTACACAATTCAGAGCAAAGCTATTATTTTTTTGTATTGTTGCTCATTCTGAAGAAAACTGCCCCAAAGATAGATGAATATGTTCCTTTATTTTACACTCCTACACAAAAGTTATTATACTCCATAATAATATGGAATATAGACTAGAAAAGAATGTTTAGTATATCATTGGCTTAAGGTATTAAATGTACTTCTCATAACTGTGAAAACGTCACAAACTTGAAAAATATCACAATAATTTCTGCAGTAATGATATTGACTCAGAATTGTTCTGCACAAGAGGACTCTTAGTGACCAGCTTCTCTAGAAATACAACCTTCTATTTATTCGTTTTTACAACGTTTTTGGATAGTCTTCAGTAATTAAAACATGTCTTGCCATTTATTTGTTTGAAAATAGGCATGTGCTAAAACATTAAATTAATGAAAATATCATTAATTCGTGGAGGATTTCCTTATAGTAATAGACTTTGTTCACAATGTCAATGAATAGTTTTAAAGTATTACTTTTCACTGATATATTTTTATCGGTTCCACGTCGCTACAAGATTTTTAATTTGTCTGCAATGGTGTGTCTATCCAACAGATCAATTTTTATCACAATATCATCGTACTACTTCAACGGACTTCCGTGGTGCACAAAATAAGAAGTAACATAAATCACTTAAGCTTGTATTAGTGATTGTAGTGTCTTCACCCGTGAAGAGTTAAGAAGGAAAAGGAATTTTGCCAAATATCTAGTATCTGGTCATGAGAAGTAATCTCAATGCACTTATGTATTTTCATTGGAGTTGGAGAACTGGATAGCATGAAACATTAATTGAATCAACAAATAGAACTATTCTCGCCTAGGAAATAACCATACTTAGAAAAAAATTGTGCGAACCAAACTGACTTGACTGTCGGTGTCATCACGGGCAAATTGGTGCAAGGATGGCAACAGAAACGAAACTACGCAAATTAGGCATTTCGTTATTGTTTCTTGTCTATAGAAACCAAGTAATGAAACTAAAGTCCGAAGCACACCGAAGAATCTTATGGACACGTAACGATACTGCCTCTGGAACGAAACTTCTCTGCGACTGGGAATTTAGTTTCGTTCCAGGAGCGAAACTATATCATCATGGGAGTTTAGTTTTTACCCAGATGTATTATTCAGCATTCAGTTTCGTTATTTACTATTCATGACGTCACAAAACGATTTAATTTCGTTCCCAATGACATGGGTAAATGTAGGATTTGATTTGCCCAGTTGTACCACGAGTGAGCACTGGGGTCACATAAGCGAAGCAACTACTTGTTTCTTCTCCGATGTATTAATAAGTATTTTTTTAGAATATCGCAGTTTGTACACAATTTTGTTTTCCTAACCATTACTTACGTCAATGTTATAATAAATACACTGTTAACAAATAAATGAATAGAAATGTACAATTTTAGAATTCTACATACCGCACTTATTGTATAAAATATGTATCAGTTCGTTCTCTTATACATATAAAAGAGAATTACCGTAATGAGTTTTGCTTGCTATACTTGCATATTACTCGTCCAAATGTTCATGATATTTTTGGGAATTTACAAAAGAAATAGAAATCGACAACTCCTTCTATTGCAAAAGATTTCCAAAGGGGTCTATCTTTCCTGATTCATTAGAAAGCGTCTCTTCCATTTCTTTCACTGCTGTCCGTTGATCCCTTTTTTCTGGAAAAGGTTAAATAGCATGTATTTGACCGTTGCTTCAGTTTAGGATCCCAGAAAGATCTGCAGGTACTTGTGAATTTAAATGAAGCAACATTCTTAAGTACTTTCCGAATGTTACCAGAACGGTATATTATCTTATTAAACTCGTTTGGGAATGTGTTTGCCATGCACTTATTACTCGGAATATCGTTCTAAAGATACAATATTTTAATATTCCGATGAACAGAAATTTCACAAAGCAGCAAATATTTTATCATTTGCATTTTGCGAGATATTAAAGTAACTTTTTTATACTTATATAAGGTCGCTTTTCAAACACTATGCTCATGCAGCGACCACTGCTAATAAGATCGGTTTTGTAACTTTTGGGGGTAATGGTAACTGTAGCGGAACTCACATACTGGCATCCAAACACAAACTCCCACGGCCCGGGTAGGATCCGAACCCACGACTCTTCAGGCACGAGGCAACTATGGCTCTTCAGCCTTAGCGACATTGGTTATCCAGACCGGAATTGAAGTAATTTTGTTTTCTCAAATGTAACTCTATTTTCACTTCTCGTACACCAACGTATATACGGTAATATAGAGTGGAATGGGGAAAATGTCTACTCATTTAAAAAAGATGAGAATATGATAGGTAGCACCCCCTAGGGATTATGAATTGTATCAACGTGATGAAGAAACATGGGTAGCAAAAATGTCTTCACTGTCCCTCCCCCTAATCCTACAAGGATTTGTTCGTCTTGAACTGCTCTTTTGTTAACATTTATCCCAACAGCAAAACAACTAGATCCTATAGGAATCCCAATCACAGTACACAGTCTGGGGTATATGTGAATGGCAAATGTACTCCAGATTGAAATACTTCAATCTGGGGTACATTCCAGTTGGGAAATGTACCCCAGACTGAAGTACACAGTCTGGGGTAAATGTGTACTTCAGAGGTTTCAAAAAACTTTGATAAAACCATGAAATTCTTAACGTTCAGTTGGTGGTTTACAGTCTAGAATAACAGTCCTAAAATATCAAATTAAAAAATCTTATTTTTAGTTCATGTGGACGCTCTGGAAACCGACAAAGTTGAATTTTGCTGAAAATGGAAGGGATCACCCTCTCTCTCTCTCTCTCTCTCTCTCTCTCTCTCTCTCTATATATATATATATATATATATATATATATATATATATATATATATACACACACACACACACACACACACACACACACACACTTCTTTGGTCCTGATCTTCCACAGGCGGAAGTTAGGTCACCCATCTAGATGGCTGCCACAGTATTTTTTCATTCTTCTTTGTTCTCTGCCTTCCGCATTGCCTCTTCCAGGCTCATACCAGTGAATGTTTTACATTGGTTTATCCATCTCATTGCAGTTCTTCCTCGGCCTCTTTTTCCTTCTACTTTACCTTGGACTATCCGTTTCTCAAGCCATACTCCATTCCTTCGTACTATGTGTCCCAGGAATCTCAATATCTTTTGCTTGCAAATGTCAGCCAATCTCTGTTGAATGTTTAGTCTATTTATGATTGAGAGGTTAATCTCTCTTTCTGTTCATAATTCTCTCAACAGTCGCCGGTAGGCCCACATTTCGAAGGCATTAATTATTTTTATATCTGTTGTCTTAATAGTCCAGGTTTCTGCTCCATATAACATAACAGAGAAGGCTAAAGTCTTAAGTAGTCTTAGTTTGCTATTTCGGGATATGTGGTCATCTTTCCAAATTGGGGTAAGCCTACTCACTGCCTCTCTCCCTAGAGCAATTCGTCTTCTTATTTCTTTAGATGATCCTCCATCTGCCTGAACTAGGGAGCCAAGGTAAATAAGTCCTGTCACTTTTTCATAATCTATTAATGAGTTTGATGGTGGGAGAACGTTTCCTTTATCCACTATCATTACCTTAGTTTTGGCCTTATTGATAGTCAGTTAATATTTGTTACTCGTCTTCTCTATTCGTTTTATTAGTTGACTCATTTCTTCCTCCGAATGTGCACATAGTGTGGTATCATCAGCAAATCGTAAGTTGTTGATCCTTTCGCCTCCAATTATTATTCCGCCATTCCAATTGTCCAAGGATTCTCTCAATATTGGTTTACTATAGATGTTAAATAAGATAGGAGAGAGTATGCAACCTTGTCTTACACCTTTCCTGGGTTTGAATTGCTCTGACATCGAATTATGTGTTCTTACTACTGTCCTTGAGTCTCCATATAGATTCCGAATTAGGTGAATCAGATGTTCAGGAACCCCCATATCTTGTAGAATTATCCAAAGTTTCCTCCATTGAACACAGTCGAAGGCTTTATTGTAGTCTACGAAACACAGTACTAATGGCTTATTGAATTCCTTTTTCTTTTCTATAAGTTGTCTGACATTTAAAATCTGTTCCCTTGTTCCTCTGCCTTTGACAAATCCAGCTTGTTCTGGCGGTATTTGGTTATCTAAGTAATATCTTAGTTTTGCATGAATAATATTCAATAAGACTTTTGATGCATGTGAGATGAGTGATATAGTACTATAGTTGCTGCAGTTCTCTGTTCTTTGTGTAGAGGAATAAAGACTGATTCAGCCCAATCTCTTGGCCATATGTCTGTGGACCACACTTGATAATATAGTTCCCATAAAATTTTTACTCCTTTTTCTCCAGCTATCTTTAGCATTTCTGCTGTGAATTCGTCAGGACCTGGTGCTTTGTTGTTCTTTAATTTTGTAATGGCTTGTTCAATTTCTTCGATTAGAATACATGGTTCTTGTTCCTTAGGTATAGCTCTGTTATTTGAGGTCTCTCATATATATATATATATATATATGAGAGAGAGAGGGGGAGAGGGAGGGAGGGAGAGAGAGAGGGAGAGGGAGGGAGAGAGAGAGGGAGAGGGAGGGAGAGAGAGAGAGAGAGAGAGAGAGAGAGAGAGAGAGAGAGAGAGAGAGAGAGAGAGAGAGAACGAACTTCCGTCTTCTTGCAAAAATGAATATTCCTCGAGCGATCTGATCTGACCTGAGTTAAATCCACACGATTTTAAAAACAATTCTTTGAGTTTTGGGGA